TGTGCAATGCAGAATTTGTACAGAATTAATGTTTTACATAAAATTCTATCTCCCCCCCCCCCACACCCGAATAGGTGCTGCACACAAATACAGGACACTGTCAAAGGGTTGTGGGAGGATGAGCTGGAGCAGGGCTATTCAACTTTGGAAGTCCAGGGGGTCACAGTGATGCTCACAGCACATGCCGAGGGCCGCGACTTAAGTGTGGTTCCATATATATGCAAATAGCTTTTCACACTGACAGGCATGAATGCAAAGTTTAAGGCAAGAGTACACAACACACAGTCTGTTCTGCTGATATTAATAAAATGCAATATTTACCCTCTTTTCCACCCATATGACAGCACTTTTAATGAGCAATTACAGTCCAGGAATTTAACTACTAAAACGCATATCAACAGAAGACCATTATATTGACTACTTCTTTGTTTTGGCTCCCACCCGCAGGCCACGTGTTGAGTAGCCCTGAGTTAGAGGGTTCTGGGCAGTTGTGGTTTCCAGTACATCCTGAAGGAAGACAGAAGCATGCATCAAACTCCATGCACGACCAGGACCCAGTGTTAGGCTTTTTCTCTCTATGGGTCCATGAGCTCTGAGGGTTGGGGGTGCAGGTACTTGGGCTGGGTTGTGAGACACCCAGCTGCTGGGCTCTGATGCATAGGAATTCTGAGCTGTGGGGGTTGATTCTGAGAGGTGAGTGTGTGTGAGAGAGAGATAATCTGAGCTGTTGTGGTGCGTGGTTGCTGGGAGTCTAGCCCTGTAGTTGTGCTCTGGGGGGTGAGGGTATGGGTATTTGAAACTGGAGGGGCACAGTTTTCCTTCAAGATGTGCCTAGCTGCCATATATAACACACAGATTGAGATGCTGTACAAAAGTATTGCAGAGAACCAGGAAGTGGGTTGTTGGAGGATTTTCTTTAATTCTCTGCTGATAGGGGAGTCTTTTTTGTTATCTGTATTGTTATTGAAATACTTACTCTTAGTTGTTTTGAAATAAATTGCCAAAATAATTGAAACTGATGTAATTCTACTGTGTTATTGAGCAATAAAACATGCAGAATTTCAAAATATGGTGTGCAGAACTTTTAATTTTTTGGTGCAGAATTCTCCTAGGAGTATTCCAGTTACATCTGGTTGTAAAGCTGCTTTCATGAAGTAAATTGGCTGTCCATCTACTTCCGAGGTGAGGGATACTACTATGTCATCTTTGTCTTCCAAATATAGAAGAACAAACCTTTGCCACACACCTCAATATAAGGTTCTCTTTTCCTGTTAGTTTCTTTCTGACATTCTTAGAGTCCTTTTGTCTGTGTTCAATTCAGATAAATCGTAGGAGATTAATTTTGAACAAGATGACTTAAGGTACACAACCAGATACATAGATAAATATCTCATGACTGACAGAAAATCTGTTTTTCACCTTTATTGGTGATCAATCGCTCAGACACAGACTTTAAGAACATATATTCGGTGTAAATGGATAACTCCTCATGCGACATCCGTACATGTGTTTCTCAGTGATATTGATGACCAGTGTGTCATCAACTTTCATTTGAGAGCTCACGTGACATTCTTTTTGTGATCTAGAATATAGGTACCAGACTCAGGAAATTCATGTAATCTTTTTGCACTCTCTTGCCAAGTAGCATTAAGGTTGTTTGGTCACAGGGTGTTTAGCACATTTTAGGAGGACGTGAACAGAGTGACCGGCAGGACTTCTAGGCTTGTAGGGCAAAGTGAGGTGGGGAAATGTTGCTTTATGATGGAGAGCAAGGAACTCTGTTGAGTTAAGAGATAATGGGCTTTTCTAAATTGGGATGAAATTGTATCCCGTTTTAAACCCTCGTGGATAAACTGTATTTTTGACGTGTTACTTGGACAAGGTAAATGCTAGGTATAGTGTAGTCTTCAGCTCAACCAATTTACGGTGTGTTAAAGTCTGCACTACCTTATCCGCATTAGTTTTAAAATGTGATAATGTGTTAGTAACAAACTTCCAACAGCACATCTTTAAATTCAAGACTAGGAACTTGTCTTGACTATCTCTGTTTTTTTAGGTTCCTTTGCCGCCTTAGTTTGATAATCCAATTTCCTAGTCTCACTCTACTCCCTGCATTCTGTATTTTGACTCCTGTTCCCTTTGCCAGCTTTGCCTCCTTGCAAAATGTCTAAATGCCA